ACGTAACAAAAGAAAATTTAAAATAACGTCATATAATAATATATTATATGTGCATCACCAAAAAAAACGAAAAAAATGTCAAGATTTTCAAGAAATCAGAAATCAATATATCTTTATTCAAATTGGATGTATAGTACAACTCTTTTGAATCGTCCAAAAAAATTTTTTTCCCTACCACTCGTTATGGATATATTTTTTAGCTGCGGAGAAAAACGAGCGAAATAAACTCCACAACATTAAAAGTCTAATTTAACAACATTTACAAATCATTATGTTGTTACAACGTCAATACAATTATGATTTATTTAATATAGAAAACCTGTTGGAATGATTGGAACAGTTCAAACCCAAGCATTTTTGTCTGTAATATAATCAGACACTTTGTAATAAGCTTTTTTAATAAGTGCTTTTTTTATAATATCTTTAAATTTATTTATGGCTAACTCTTGGATATTGCTTGGGACTTTATTGTATAAGCGAACACAAAGACCTATAAATGAATTATTAATTTTGTGAAGCCTAGTAGCAGGTAAAGTTAGTTTATTTTTGTTTCTTGTATTAATTGTGTGAACATCACTGTTTTTAAGAAACAAATTAATATTTTTTCTTACAAGTAATAAATTTTCGTATATGTATTGTGATGCGACCTTCATTATTCCAAATTCTTTAAACTTATCTCTTAATGATTCTTTTACTTTAAGATTGTAAATTGATCGAATAGCTCTCTTCTGCAGCACAAAAATAGTTTGAATGTCTGCGGCATTTCCCCACAATAAAATTCCGTACGACAGTACACTATGGAAATAACTAAAGTACACTAATCTGGCCGTATCTTCATTACGGCATATGTTGCAGAGCTAAGTCTATTTGACAATTTATCAATAACCCATTGAAGCTTAGAATCTATAGTTATCCCTAAGAATACTGTGGTGTCTACAAGGCCCACATTCCTATCCTTTACATTCACACTGGTTTTTACCTGTTTTACATTAGGTAATACAAATTTCCTACATTTCGTTTTTCCTTCATTAAGTAATAAATTGTTAACATTGAACCAGTGGACTACCTTAGAGATATAATTGTTCACGTCGTCAATAACTTTTTCCTTGCGTTTGAGTTTAAATAAAAGTCAAGCAAGCAAGCAAGGCGCTTTCCTTACTTGATGACAAGCGACAGGATGATTCATACAGTAAAATCGAAATCATCATCGTTTTAATAGTCTGGTCAACCTTAGACAATCAAAAATATTATTACACCTAGCTCGAAGTGAGTAAATTTGTTCAACACATTATTAAAATTCCCCATCGTTTCGGTACATGAAAAAAGATAGTTACTCGGTTCGGTACAAGATAAAAGGTATAAAAATAGTTAATTCGCTATTTTCATCAAAACGGTAACTTGTATCGTTAAATTATTTTAGACAAAAATTGTAGATCATAAAATGATCTATAATAAAGGTAAAAATATTATTTTTCCTAAGAGCTACCGTTCCTGAGATATAACGATTCAAAAAGTTCTCAGCGTTATATATTATAATATACTAATCTAATAGTCATATAAAATATTAATGCCAATGCCTTTTTTATAGATAATTTTATAATTTATGTTTTTGTCTAAGATAATTTTACGATAAATCTTACCGTTTTGATGAAAATAGCGAAAATTTCATTTTTTACCTCGAGATAATTTTTTTCCAAGTACCGGAATGACGGGGAATTTGGAAATGATATTTTTAATTACGTTTTGAATAATTTAACTCACTCTTAGCTTCATGTAAATTTATGTAACTTCACTCTTATTTTTCTAATTTGACCGGACTATAATTTCGCCAACTGTATCATCAATCATCGAACTTCCTTACTTTTAGTTTGGTCGCATTATACCTTAATGTTTCAATGCAGATTGCAAACCTCTGCTTCTTTGGGTTTTTCAACAGAGCCATTTTGTATTTTGTAGTTTTCATATAGTAATAAAAAAAATAAACTTATTATAATATAAACAGTAAATGGTTTATTTTTTTATGTAGGTAATTGTTGAGATGGCTGTGGTTGTTCATTATACTCATAAATTCACAAAAAATTTAACATTTATTACCAAGAACCTTTTTTACTTCTTTTTAATGTTATCGGGAATGAAGTTCGGGTCACCCCGCTAAATATAAACACAAAGTAGCTTATATAGTACTGCGTATACTTTGTTGTTTTATAGATATTATTATATGCTCATATTTTCTTAATATTTCTTAAAAATTAACTCTGTTTCTAATTGTGTAAGCTTTAATTTCACAATTATAGTAATAATGCAAATAAGTATTGCGTCGATTATGAGCCACGGCTCGCGAATATCTGGGGCGTTCATACCAGCGATACCAACTAAACAACTTAACTGCCATCTCGTGTGCGTACGATACGCAGAACAATAATTTTACCTTGTACTTTTTTCCATTAAAACATACTTATTGTAGAAATATAATAAGTACCTATTGAATGTTAAAAATAACGACCGCATTTTCATAGAAAAGGACAATGTTAAAATTGGCCTAAGAACCAACACCAATTTGGCATTTATGATAATTCTTAGTATATTTTTTGCGATAATTATCAGTATTTAGATTGTGACGGACACTTCCAGTTAAGTAAGCTAAATTAAAAAGTTAATAAATAATCTGAGACAATAAATACCATTTTATGTGTATAATCTATGACAGCGCTGCAAACAAAAAACACTTTCTTCCTAATGCCGGCACTTCACTTGGCTATTCGTATTTGCTATTTAAAAACATGACATCATTCTGTCCTTTTCATTCCTTATTAAGCATGACAAGGACAAACTGTTGTCAATTGAAGGGCCGGCATAAACTTGATACTCTGTGGTTGTGGTGCAGGCAGTTTGCAGACGTAGTAATCTGTGGCATTCGTGCATTCTCGTCAAAGAGTACTTTTTATAAACGGAGAATTCTCGTTCGGATTACCTGTTGTGTGTTTATTTGCGATTGTTTTTCCTTTAATTTAACTATTACTTACTACTACTTCGGCTATCTAATATGCCATCGATGTTATCAAAGAGCAGAAACCTTCTTACCAAGTGCTAGTGAACCTGTGCCATAACATCCTGAGAGGATCATACTGCCAAATTATTCAAGAGCACGTGATACACATTCACACTGCATATTAACACAATATACATGTGTTAAACAAATAAATACAATATGATACAATTATGTTAAAAAAAGGTCAATAAATAATAAGAAGCAAAACTATTATATTGTTATTATTTTATTCATGATTCCTACCTAACCAAGTTCTTCCTAATAGTTATTCTTTAAAATCGTACCGAATAAAATGAATTAGTTGTAATATTAATTTACTTCATACTAAGTTCATAGGTTGACCTATGTTTCATTGAATATTAAACATAACCTCAAAAAAATTTTAGTTTTCCTAATAATTTAAGTTCTCAGAAGTGTCCGTCTATAATCTTTGTTTTTACAGTTATTTACGTGCGATTTCGAACCTAGAAAATAATATTACATGATTGTTGGTTCTTAGGCTAACTATGTATGGACGCAGAACAATGTCCTTTATGTGAACTGCCACGCTGCCACTACGCAGCTCCATAAAGTGATCAGAGCTAAACAAAAGCCGATCATAAATAATGCAGTTAGCTGCATCGCGAGTTCAGAATAGCGATGTGACGACCACTGGGTACTGCGCAACAAGTGAATAAAATCGGGGACGATAATTTAGCGAGGGCAGTGCTAGTCCGTTTGACCGCCAATTGACATGGGCGCCGCGGCGAAGAACGCTCGCCCTCACATCGTTGTCAGGTGGATCTGCCCACCAACACCGTCAGTACCACCTTAACTGTTAAACCGACCCGTTTAAAAATTATAGTTGAATGGAAGTGATCCATATAGGTGCCAATAAAACAGTTTGGTAGATTTTACCAAAAGTTTGAAAGAGAGTTTGGAGTTAAGTTTTTATGGGGTATGAGTAGATATCAACTAAGGTTCTGAGTCCAGCCGGGGCAAAAGTGGCTTTGTTCTTGAAGTTTATAACTCGAGATTTAAGGGTATCTCTAAGTTTCAACCGGGAGGATTATATTAGTTACCTGCTGTTGATAAACAATGTTTGTCTCAACGGAATGAGTGAATGATATGTTTACAGTGACGTTGTGAGAACGGCAGTGACTGATGCTGATTACTTAATTTGTGTGATTGAGACATAGATATCAATTGAATTGCCGAGGAATACCAGACGATGAGCAGCGGCTTGGCGTCTTGCCGTAGTAGTGTTTAGTGAAGGTTCTCATTTTGTTACTGCCAAGTATTTCTATTTAGACTGAGCCAAAAATCGATCAAGCGCAAACCTATCATGTTCGTTAAGGCAACGATTATCGAAAAAATATCATATATTTAAAATAACGTTTGTCAACGCTTTGGAACCTAATGAAAAAATATAATACATTTATGTTTTCTAAAAATATCATTAATAAGTAACAAAAATCCATTAAAACTTACTTGGTCGCCTGGCGTCGCAATTATAAAAATTCTTAGTATTAACTACGATACATTTTATTGCAAACGGTGTCACATTTTATCCATATGTGTTATAGACGTAAAAGTAGTTAGTTAGTTTAGTTACTATTGGTTAAGCCACTACCTGTAAAGTGGTTTGAGTTTGATGTACTTTTAATATAGGTAGGTACTTCTAGGAGGACCATGTTTTCATGGACATTTTTTTAAGTTAGATTATTACCACTTGGCCATTGTTGAATTTATTATTTAAAAGTATGGCAAAATCCATAAGCGCTTGCCAGCTTGCTATAATTAAATTAGCGCTCGCAAGTGTCAACTCTGACCACAGCATACCCTTAGTTAATGCAGTAGTATGAGCAACTATCCCGCCCCAGATGAGCGCTTCAATCCTCTTTCTGTCCTACCTTATAAACCTAATTAACCTTATGAACCTAATAACTCACTTTCAGTAATTTAATTTCAGAACTGTCGGAGTCCCGCCTGTCACTGAAGGAGAGCCTGTGCCGAGGCACGCTGCGCACGGTGGCAGCGCTGGGCGCGGGCGACGCGCACCTGCGCGGCCTGCTGCTGTATCACCTGCACGCCGCACTGGCAGAGCGTGCGCGCCGCTGCCCCTCGCTGTATGAGGTACCTACCAACCAAGGCTTATGTCCGCCTGGTGCTGAGAGCCTGTGCCGAGGCACGCTGCGCACGGTGACGGTGCTGGTCGCGGGCGACGCGCACCTGCCCCTTGCTGTATGAGGTACCTACCAACCAAGGCTTATGTCCGTCTGACGCTGAAGGCGAGCCTGTGCCGAGGTACCCTGCGCACGATGACGGCGCTGAGCGCGGGCAACGCACACCTGCGCGGCTTTCTGCTGTACCACCTGCACGGCCGTGATGGCAGAGCGTGCGCGCCGCTTCTTCTTCAAATATTAATACATAATAAAAAAACCTGTATTCTTAAAACTAAAAACAAATGTTCTATTCCTTAAAAATAAAAAATAAATTCTCATAAACACACCTTTAAAATTCAAAAATTTTTTAAACTGATAACTGAGCTGGACAAAGTACTATCTTATAATTTTCTACTACGTTATAATTTTGTTGTTATAATTTTCATGTGCTAGTATCGAATATCTACAAAAGCACAATAAAAGATATAATTTACCATTCAATAACAAACACCGGGAAACGCTACGAATGACAGATGAACTACCATAAACATAAACATCCTAAAATGGCGTCTTGTCAATTAAAGGGCTTCAAGTCGGAGCTAATTTACAAAGGCAGAAAAAACTTATGGCATAACCTCTCTATTTCTTTTAACATTGATGAAGATAGATACCAGGCCACTCAGAAAGTTTTGCGAAAAAGTTTTTATGTATATGACACTGGCCACATGTAATTATTTTGAAAACTTCTATAATTTAAAAGTAAAAATACCACTGTTCGATTCTCAAATTTTCATCCGCATTTTTTCGAGAGTCAATTAAATATTTCTTGTCTCTTTAAAAAATGGATCTGCATCGAGAACATTTTCGTGCTATGATTTTTTCCGATTTTAAATGTGGCTTAAAACCTGATAAGTCATTTGTTCGATTTCGAACTGCTTTTATGGATGAAGGACCTTCAAAAGCAACCATCTACCGTTGGTGTAGCGAGTTCAAACGCGGTCGTCTTACTTTGGGGGATGAACAAAGGAGTGGTCGTCCTACAACGGCTGTCACCAAAGAAAGTGTGCTGGCAGTCAAAAATTTAATTCAAGACAACAGACGAATTACGTACTAAGGGATTCAGCATACTCTGCAGATTGGTTCAGGAATTGTTCACAGGATTTTGCACGAGCACCTTTGCGTAAGGAGGATAGTTTCCCGCTAGGTGCCGCACAAACTCACCGAAGCTCAGAAGCAGGCCCGTGTGGATTGAGTCGCGGCGCGTTTACGATATTGTAACAGGTGATGAATCCTGGATTTAGCAATACAATATACGCAGAAACAAAGCGTCAGTCGACAGTTTGGCTGTTTCTAAATGAACCAACGCCTACGAAAGTGAAGCGATCGAGGAGCGCAGGGAAAATTTTGATCGCTAGTTTCTTCACTTTGACGGCTTACCTAATTTCAATTCCACTTCGAGACCAAAGCAGCATCAACGCCGATTGGTATAGCACAAAATGCCTGCCAGAAGTTTTTTCTGCAAAGAGCAACAAGCGACCTAACACTGGGCTCCGCGGGGTCCTTCTTCACCACGACAACGCGCCCGCGCACTCTGCTATTAAAACGAACAACTCCCAGACTCCACACCAGTTAGTCTTGGGACACCCTCCTTACAGTCCTGATTTGGCTCCGTGTGACTTCGTTTAATTCCCTAAAATAAGAAATCAGCTCAGAGGGATACACTTTTCATCGCCGGAAGAAGCGCTAGCAGCTTTTGAGAAGACCGTGGAAGAGGTGTCTGCGGAGGACTGGAAAAAATGTTTTGAAAATTGGTTCAGACGCATGAAACTTTGTATAGAGGCTGGTGCAGAGTTCATTGAAAAGATTCAATAAAAATATTATTTTCATAGATGTTAGTTTTTTAGTTTCTCAAAACTTTCTGTGTGTCCCACATACTTAGTTACATAACTCATTCTATTATGTGTAGCCAATAGCCGCACCTTGACAGTTTTGGTGGTAGACCACTGGGTCGAAAGTGATTTCAATGCAATTTAATGTGTGCATTCGAGAGTGTGGCTGTTTTAGATTAAAAACTTGACCCAATATGTGATACTGTAGTTAGCTAGGATTTGTTTATATTTTTATCTGGCTGAATAACGACGAAAATTTTTAAACTTATGTAAATATTTTTTTCCCACAGGAGTTGAAAACAGAAATCGAGTGCACCATAGAACAAGCCTTCAGCATTCTCCAAGGTGACATTTCCGCCCCTCCAGACATCGAGCTAAGATACACGTACCTTGGCCCCGGCTCTGACAAGCCCCATAGGGAACGGTTCTTCATACTCGACGGATGACATGTTCGACCAAACCAAACACGCAAAAGTTGTATATTGTAATTATCTTTATCAAATTATGTAAAAAGTTGACGGAGTTTTGTGGTGAACTTGTTAGCTTTCTTACTTTTTTATGCTATATATAGGTGACCTCATGTTTTTTAGGTTCTGTGACCCCATAACTTAGTGTAGTGAGAACAATGTAGTGGTTATGTGCGACCGCGACGCACGGTCAAATGATCAGGGTCTTATAGAATTGATTTGTGCGCACACCCAATACGATGAAGCCAAAGTTTAAATAAGTGACAAATATTAATTAACATAATGCATTTTAAAACCAAATGGACATACAGGTGCGAAACGTTGAGCATGCGTTATTTTATTAGTTATTATAGTTTACCTATTAATAGTATACATGCTGTGTAAACAAAAGAATGAATGTCTAATGAATACGCAAAGCTAATTACAGATGGCGTATGGCCCTGTATGGGTCATACGGCCTCAAACTCCATTAGAAAGTTATAAATATACCTTTGGTAACAGGAACATCAGGAATGCTCACTTGCTATTTTGTAAATAAATAATATAAACCCTAACAAAATCACATAAGGTCGTCTTTCTCTTAGATTAAAAGAAAGGAAACTGTTTCGAAGAACTAAGTTTTTGGACGGCAGTCTCTGTTGCGCAGTTGCCAGTACTTATCTTTAATCGATATAGTAATATTTCAAAGTACTTGTACAAGAGCTAAACTCCTGAAATAATCGGTATTATTTTCAATAGCTGCTATTGATAAACACAACAGTAAAACATATAAATATATATTTTTTAACAGGTTCATGTTTATTCTTGCACCTCTTTTCAAACATCTACGGTTTTTTTTCTAAATGGCTTCGCACGGCTTGTGCATTTAGCCAATGTCAAGTGTTAAAATGTTTACAAATATTATGGCCACGGTAATATTATCTATACAGTATTGTGACTCGGCCCTGTCCTTGAAATAAATGCCTACGGCCGAACGGTGCGTAACACGCGGTAGGACCGCCCGCCTACAATATTTTAATTTCATCTAAATAATTGAGTTTCTTTCTAGTTTTGTGATTGTAAATATTTTATTTTATATGATTCTCCGCAAGCCCATATACCCATATCGTAGGAATGCATTAAAAATAACTATTCCGCCATGTTGGATTTAGAATGACGTCACACAGCTAACCGTGCTTTTTAATCAAAACGTGTATACCTATACAAAATTTTAGCTCAACCGGTTGAAGATAAAATGCTTCAAAAATTGAGTTGCAAGATTCCACCCGAACAAACATAGTTACATACCTACCTATATTGCAAGTTAATTAAAAGTTTAAAAAAAACTGACTGCTGATTTTTATTCTTACATAATTCAATAAAAGAATATTATTTTAAACATACAAGTTATATTTATTTGTAAAAAGGAAATTACCTACAATGTAGGTAAATCTTACTAGGTAGGTACTGTAGGGATCGTTTCATGCAAACTAATTATTGTCATTGAAACACTTTTATTTTCAAGAAATTACATTATCATTATCAATAAACAAAATACTGTTTTTTAAACTCCGCACAAATCTCCCTATTTCATTATTTTTTAGCTTTCTATTCCTGTCAACAATCCGTCTCTTTTCCAAATTACCTAATAACCTGCCAGTATACACCAAAAATATCCGATCACTACAATACCTCTCGTTTTTTATTACTCTCGTAAATTATTTCATAATGATATTTCATTTAATTCAATAATGTATGTAGTTTAGTTATTCAATAATGTATGTAGTTAAGTAAGTAGATAGCCTCGTCTAGGAAACTACCTACCTATTATGTAGTTTTGTTTTTAACGCCAGTGTAGGTAGATTACTCGTTTGTCTCTTTTTTCACCCTATCCACTTATTTATTTAATATTCCAGATATTTTGCCCGATGGAAAAATCGAAATACCTAAATATTAAAAACAAATTACGTACTAGTAGATAGATATATAAAAAATATTCTTTAAATCATACCCTTCCAATATTTCAGGTAATTTAAAAAATTATATCTCCGGGTGCGTTATTGAAGAGTTCAAGCAACCAAATACAGTAAAATATCGTCGTTTGTTCTTTCCCATATTAAATTATGTAGGTATCTACTTAATTCAATCAAATATTTACAATACAAATCGCACGTTTAAGCACGTCTAACTGCATAAAAAACAACTCACACCGTTCGGTCGTCGCTGCAGCGCATTTGCGACTGGGTGTCCCCCGAGAGTCCCGCGAACTCCAGTGGCGTATGTATGATTCGCTTTCCGACCGTTTGTATGAAGATAGAATACTGTATATAATATTACCGTGCTATGGCACTCGTGATCAAAGTAATAAATCAAGACAAAGTAAGTGGCAGTCAAGTCAATCCCCCTTTCCCTATGTTTTAAGTAAAAGTGTGGGGATTTACTGGAACCTCGCCGTGGACTTCTCGAGGGAACGTCGAAAGACACTTTCCGCTATTCTGTTTCACTTGCCAACACTTGTTCATGTTCCCAAACACTTAGTGGTTAATAATAATCCACCATTATTAGACACTAAAATCCGCCACAACACAATTTTTAACAAGAAAAACAAATCTGCTTATGTGACGCTTCCTGCTCCCGCCAAAAAGTCCAACATCTACGGTTTTTAGTGTTGCCGATCGATAGTCGACTATCGATGATTAATCGATAATCTATCGATAGCCAACCAATCGTATGGCAATGATCGGCCTATCGATAGTATCGATACTGTCGATTTCATTTGCAACCATACTATCGATAGTATTTTTTTTTAATTTTCAGGTAATATAGTCAATCACAAACTTTAGTCTAAAACAATCGCTAGTATCGATACTATCGATAGTATTGATGCAGATAAAATCAACAGTATCGGTAGTATCGATACTATTAATAGTTTGTTATTAACGAACTACAATAATATCGATAGTATCAATAGTATTGCACTCATTCGATAGTATTGCCTTGTTCTGTTGCCTGATTATCGATAGTTTCGATACTATCGGTTGTAGCGATTCTATCGATAGGCCTATCGATAGGGAACATGATTTTCGATGTAAACTGTCGATAGTTTTAATATCGATAGTTCGGCAACATTAACGGTTTTTCACCCAAATATAAATTACAATAAAGAATTTGTTTTCTTTTTAATTTCCTCGTGGGTAAAGTATAAAGCTAGTTTTCAGATTTACATCTGTACTATACCAACTTTTTATATCTATTTTGGTAGATTACAGGTCATTCGACACCTAGTGCCTCTGGCGGTGAGAATTGGCAATTTTCTTCACCATTAGTTTTAAGATCATTTTGAGAATCATGCCCATTATCCATATCTGTGCCCAATATTTACCAAGGGGTCCACGTTATTTAAATTTCTGGTGGGCTATTACTTTAGCATTAAAGCAGAAAAAATAATGACATCATTATCATCTGTATAATAAAGAATTACAACTAGCAGAACCACGCAATTGTACTTTTTAATTTATTTAATTTTGTAAATTAGGTACCTACGTATTCTTATAACCGTTCATATTCCAACATTATTACTTTTCTTTTGCATTATGAAAACTTACATAATAAATACCATATTCATACTAATAATATTTTTCATTTATTAGTCTTTATGGACTTTCCTTCTTAAACCATAAGCTAAAATCATCGATGCGGTATCGACACTTTTGAAGACAAAGCCATAGCTGTTATTGATAGGACTGTAAAATGAAGTATTGTATATGAATGTTGGGGAAAATATCGCTTGGCTTTCACTAGGCGGGCAGTCATCGGCAAGGCCGAGCGATGATACCGAATTATGCAGTTGAATGTCGGGAATCACAACCCGCTCGGCTTCAATTTTAGTTCAGGTAAAAATGTGGGACGAAGACGGCGTGTTGTTAGTTAACCTACACTATTAAAGTTTAACTTATATTTTCTGTACCCCTAGCACGAATTATTTTCAAATTCGAATAGTTTGCGATTGAGTAATGTCAATGTCAAATTTTATATAGAAACTTTAACAGCAGCGCCACAAAGTCCCGACCGAAAAAGTACCGTAGTAAAGGCCGAAAGTAGTTTGACGACCTCCCTGGCCAAGTGGTTTGTACGCCGGGTTTCATGGTGTCGCCGACTCGAGAGGTCCCGGGTTCGAATCCCGGTGGGGGCAGATGTTTGTGTGATGAATACGAGCATTTGTACTCCAGTCATGGATGTTTAATATATATTTCTATATATGTACAGTATACAGTATTAGTAACTTATCAAAAACCTTTCTTTACCTCTTTCTTTCATTATTTAAACACATATCGAGAAGGTTTGTCTCTATCAGGATATCTTTTGCGGTACCACCGCTAAGCTAATGATATGTCTTTGCGGTTCATAAAGTAAGCTTACATTAAATCTATTTTATTTTGATGCGCCATGGTAAGTAAATTAACAAAAAATTGCAAATAAACGAAAATGAAACTCACGAAAAACAAAAGAACACAGGCTTGAAAATTTATGTGTTCCATTTTCGAATTATAATTACAAATTTCAGCTAATCGCATTGTAACTGAATTCAAAAAGAAATGCAGACGTACTATTACTATTATTATTACTACTATTTGTATATCACTTTATTATTTTTATCACGTTATAAGACATTCCTTTCATTTGAAATGCTATGTTATTTAGCAAAACATAATCCTTATGATTAACCCTTTCGATTATTATTATAAAATAATTCGTTTTTTTTCGAAATTTCACGAGTTTGATTCTCAGTTGTAACAGGCGATTTTTTTAAAATCTGTAAATGCAGTTCTAGTTCTTATTTAAAATAAAATGATGTCTTCTTTCAGTAAAATATTCTATTTTCAATATTTAATGTACTTTCCCTCCGTGTGAGGTAGCCGTGGGACGCTCTGTATATGTATTGTATCCGTTACCCTAGTATCCCATAACACAAGCCTTTACAGTGCTTACTTTGGAGCTAGGCTAATTGGTGTGAGTGTTGGAAATATTTATTTATTTAAAGTAGGTAACGAAACCTAAAAATCAGTTCACATTGGACAATGACATTTCGCACTCGCAAACTATTTGAATTCGATATTGGTTCGTGCTAAGGGTACAGAACTTATATCCAATGCATTTTAAAATACATAATCTAATCAATCAAATACTCATACAAGCTTGAATCGATTTATCGTAAGTATCGTTACACATCACTATGGTACCAAGTGATGTGTAACGATACTTACGATAAAAAAGTACCAATTACCAAGTACTATGGTTACACATCACTAGTTACAAATGTCAAAAATATTATTTTGTGATCTGTAGTCACTAGAGATGGCCGTTTTTGATATTTGTGATATCGATGCGCATCGATATCAGATAAATGGCTTCCGATGCCGGCATCGATGTCTAGTGAATATCAGTATCATAGTATCACAGGATGAGATGCGATACGAATTACGACAGATACGTGTTTAGAGTAACGTTGACAAAAACTAGATGGCATCGGCATCCAATAAAGCGCTTTGCAGACGACGGGGCGGGGCGGGCTTTTTGTCCGCGAAGCAATAAAGACCGCGTCTGCCCGTCGATGTCTGCGGCTGCCCGCGCCGCGTACACAAATCAGCATTCATTCGCGGCAGGCTATTCCACCTTATAGGGAAGCGTAGTAAGTTGTCACTTAGACATAAGTTGACAATTTACAAAACTTGCATCCGCCCTATAATGACCTACGCGAGTGTTTGCTTCGCCCACGTACCCCCGTCGCGTCTTAAACCACTCCAAACGCTGCAAAATCGTGTGTTGCGCGGTGTCACGGGTTGCCCGTGGTACGTGCGAAACATCGATTTGAAATTAGACTCCATCGCGAAGTATATGAAGGACGCCTCGAGGCGTTACTTCGATAAAGCCGCGCATCACCCGAACCCCTTAGTAATAAAAGCGAGTAGTTATCATACGTCCGCCCTCCCGTCCTCCAATCGTAGGTCCCTCCGATTCCGTCGGCCTAGGCACGTCTTAGACTACCTAGACGACGAAATCACACGCGCCAACGCGCCTCCGACTCCTCCCACACAGGCCACAAACACCAACACTACACAGCTAGCAAACGTGCACACTAGCATAGCATTAGGCAGACACCGCACCCGTAGGATAAGAGTGCGAAGACCCGGTCTACACACGACACGCTATACCAGGTACAGGTACGTACCGGGGCGTTTTTCCCCGCCCCCCACGACAACGGCTAACTAGAGCCGAGGTCCGAGTCTCAGAGACGCCCTCTAGTTGAGCCGACCCCCTCAGGTTCGAGTGGTCTGGAGGCTTCAGACGGAGTGGAGACTCCCCCCGGGGAGACGCCATCCGACTGGAATACCTCCAGAGGCACTCGCCAATTCTCGGCTTGAGGTCCCCTTAGGATCTCGCCGTCCCCAAACCCGGTGACGCTGTAAAGGTCATCTGCGACCAACAGCATACACACTCAAAAAAAAGCCGCGTACACAAAGCACACGACGGGCTGAGGCAGTCAGTTTAGGACGTTCGTTCTAGTGAATAGTCCATCACTAAAAAGCGCGTGGCGCGGACTGAGCTAGCCGCCCCGCGCCGCCGTCTGCGTTACTGCATATAAACTGGTTTGTATGATCCACGGCGGGCAGCCGCGGCAGGTGCCCGGCGGGCAGTGGCGGCGCGGTCTTTTTGCCCTCTATGTGCGTTTGAAGTATAGGATTCACTTTGTGCTAGTCGCGGCGAAATTGACCGGCCCGCCCCGCCCCGTCGTCTGCAAAGCGCCTAACGGTACCCAGTAGCATAGGATGCGCGCATCCAAACGTGGCATCGTTATTAGGTTCACGCATCATTATTCTAAAAACGCCCCCCCCCCCCCCCCCCCCGTGTGAAATACGGATAGATGCATGTTTTGTGTCCCTTCGATTCATGAAAATGCAAAAGAACCCATACATTTATTTTCGGCATCGTAATTGAAAATATTGAATGTTGGCAAAATTATTACCTGAAAAGTTGCACTCAGAGCGTTGGTTTTGAACGCAGACCAGTGTCACAAACTTTTCTGTGCCAGCGGCATAAAGGAGATTGCTCAAATTGGCCCAAATGTACAAAAAATATTGGTCTATACGGTAATTCTTGGCGTAATTTATATTTTATTTTACAATCATTAGATTTTAACGGACCCCTTTGGAAACGGAAATATATTCATTTTAAAAAGGACTTTTAAATTTACCGGTTTGCAAAACATTAAGTGCAGTAACATTCAGCCAAAGACTGATCGAAGTTGTTTATATAACAACAACACAAATCTATTTTGTAAAGTACGATTTTTTTTTATTACGCTGTGGTATTATAGTTGTGGATAACAACTATTATACCATTTTCACTACATGCAAATGTGCTGAGACAATTATTATGGATGGTAGGCGACATCATAATGTCTATTGCCATACATTTTTCGCCAAACACCTCCATAAATACATTATAAGGTGTGATACACTAAAAATCTAAAACATGGTTATAATATAAACATAACAAAAATAATGAAGCTGCTGAAGATATGGCTGTAGAACCTAAATCTCTTAGCTTTCTTTGGTTAACGAGAGTTTGAAAATTCTCTCTAATCTGTGGCTCATTCACAATAACACAGTTTCTGTCCTAATGTACCATATTATAACCGGAAATGCAAAGATGATACTTGATTTTAAGAGTTACTCTTGTGCAATAACTTTAAAAACAGGCAACTGTCTCTTAATCTACATTCTCTATATACCTGAATCTAATACATAATTTCGGTACTTCGCTTGATTTCCCTAGTTTACTATATAACTTATTTGTTTTTTATTGGAATTTACTCCTTAAGAATCGATTTGCTTATATAAGGGGCCCGGTATGAGAAAAATGTGAGGAATGAAATCTATCGATGAATGACCTCGTTACGTTTTTGGTGCGCATCCTGTTCGAGCCAAAATGACTCTTAAATCCGAGAGCTTAGGTGCAAAAGAATTAAATTGAAACTACAGTGTATTTTGTTAGACCATAAATTTCTTTATTAGTTAGGTGACGTTTTGCCTATATGTAGCTCAAAATATATTTACAAGCGTGATGCAACGAACTTCAGCGCCATCTATTTTGATACATATGAACTAAAATTTTAAATATACAAATGGCGTATACACAATCGCCCACCAAGGACAAACTGAGATTTGTCCTTACAAATATTTAACTTAACAATGGTGTCGATTCTAGCATGATTCTCTAAATCTAAACTTAAATTTGACAGCAGTATATCCTTGTCATTCTCTATACAGAATGAAAAGGAGAGACTGACGTCAAATTTAGTTTTAAGTTTAGAGAATCACGCCAGAATTGGCACCAATATGACTCTGTTATCGCCCACCATGACTTAAAGTAACAAAACAAATAAAAACACTCAATCACTTAAAATAATATATTTATGCACATCTGAAATTGACTATTGTAAAAAGTTTAAAGTAAAATATTTCGTCGATTAGTTATAATAAATGTATATGAAATGAATAAATATATATTTATATATGTATATTATTTTCATTAATTTGTTAATTTACCCTTTCATACAGTATCAATCTTTTTTAAGTTAAATAAACTCTTTTTGCGTCTGGTTAGACTATCGAACTTAAGGAGTAAATTCCAGTCGTGCGTCAGAGCTGACACTCACAATTTTTTTTATTATTTTAATACCTATGTACCTATATGCAAACATAACCTCAAAATCATTCAGTGTAAATGGTTTATAGAAGTTCTCAGGGGTATCCGTCAATAATATTCGTTTCTACAGTAATTTATATATAATTTCGAATCTAGGAAACAATTTTTCATGATTATTGGTCTTTAAGCCAAACATGTATTGAAGCTGAGCAACTCCTTTGAGGAGCTCGATGGCGCAGTTGGTTAGCGCGTTCGGCTGCGATGGTTGAAGTTAAGCAACTTTCGCAGTGGTCGGTCATTGGATGGGTGACCAAAAACTTCTATCTCGAGTTCCTCCGTGCTTCGGAAGGCACGTTAAGCCGTTGGTCCCGGCTGCATCTGCAGTCGTTAGCACCCGCCAATCCGCATTGGGCCCGCGTGGCGGGTCATGGCCCAATCTCCCTATTCCATCCATAGGGAAGGCCTGTGCCCCAGCAGTGGGGACATTAATAGGCTGATGATGAACTCCTTTGAACTACAATTTATCCATAGCATTTTGACATATTTGTTCATCGCTAGCGGCATCTTCACCAGCACAGATAAGTTTGTGGCACTGTAGTTATAGTAACACTGTAGTTATAGTGAATAAGATGTCTGCTAACATCCAATCCTGCTGCAGGAGAGACCACAACCGCCATCTTCATAGCATTTGTGAAGAGGTTGAAAAACACGCTCTGAAGCACGAGTCTCGGGATCTATACCACAAAATTCGTCTTATTACCAAATCTCTACCGGCTCGAACCTGGGCCATTGAGAACGACAGAAATGAAGTGGTAACAGAGCTCGAACAAATCTCCGAAACGTGGAAGAACTACTGTCAGTCATTATTCCGAGACCCGCAGTCACGACAGTTTGCAAGTACAGACCCAGAACGGGAGAATTTGGAACCAGACATTCTACTGTCCGAAGTAAGAGCTGCCATAAAACACCTGAAATGTAAAAAAGCAACTGGTAGAGATGCAATTCCGATAGAGACAATTAAAGCCTTAGGAGATCGTGGCGACCAGATGTTTCATCTTATTTGCAACAAGGTATGGCAGACAGGAGCTTGGCCTACTGAATGGACACACACCGTTTTCACACCCTTGCACAAAAAAGGTTCGACAAAGAAATGTAACAATTACCGCCTCATTGCTCTAATATCACACGCTAGCAAAATAATGTTGCATATTCTCAACGAGCGACTGAAAACCTACCTTTCTAAGGAGATCGCTCCGGAACAAGCCGGTTTTGTGAAGGGGAAAGGCACTCGGGAACAAATTCTCATCGTACGTCAGATCATCGAGAAGTCCAGAGAATTCAATAAGCCCTTATTCATTTGCTTTGTTGATTTCTCCAAAGCATTCGATTCGGTGAAATGGCCGGTATTATGGAAGACCTTGCTAGATATGGGCACACCAAAACATCTTGTTCACCTTTTAAGACGCCTATATGAAGAAGGCACAGCCTCAGTGCGCACAGATGATGTCCTATCAGGTGATTTCCATCCTAGTGCAGGAGTACGCCAGGGATGTGTTTTACTATTAAAAAAGACTTATATTATATATATCACCGCTCTTATTCAACGCCTACACAGAGCTGATAATGCGCATCACTTTGGAGCACTGGGCGGACGGAGTAACAATTGGTGGATACAGGATTGCAAACTTGCGTTACGCGGATGACACCACCTTATTTGCAACCAGTTCATAACACTTGGATGAGCTACTGTCAAAGATGGAGCGAGTGAGCCGTGAGTTTGGCCTTAAAATTAATCGCAGCAAGACCAAGGTAATGATTGTTGACCGTGCCAGAAATAATTCGCCTGAAGTGACACAAATCGCGAATTGCACTGTGGTCCAATCTTATATCTATCTTGGGGCCCTGATTTCAAACATTGCAGATGCATCGATGAAATCAAACGACGTATGGGCATCACAAGATCAGCGATGGACAAGATGCGGAAAATATGGAGGAATAGAAACATTACTAAAGCCACAAAGACCAAGCTTGTGAGGACACTTATATTCCCCGTATTTCTTTACGCGGCTGAGACGTGGACTTTGCGAGATGTCGAAAGGCAGAAAGTGGACGCTTTGGAAATGTGGTGCTGGAGAAGAATGCTTGGGGTTTCGTGGACCGAGTTTCGCACGAACGTCTCGGTACTTCAAGAACTCGGTATCAGGCAGCGTCTATTTTCGACAGTACAATCTCGCATCCTAACATTCTTCGGACACGTTTCTCGGCGTAACAACCTATCCATAGAACGCCTTGTCGTCCAAGGAAAGGTGGAAGGTACTAGACCGCGCGGAAGGTCTCCCACGCGATGGACTGACCAGATCAAGTCAGCCGTTGGAGGTTCACTAAACGAGTGCAGCAGGATGACCTCTAGCAGGCAGCAATGGCGAAACATAGTGAAGCGCATCACATCTGCCCCCTCCAATAATACTACAAGTGCATAGCGATCACGACCGCTCTGTCAAGAGCGTACCGGCTAAGAAGAAGAAGTTATAGTAACGTTGACAAAAACTAGATGGCATCGGCATCCAAACCTGGCATCGTTATTGCGCATCGTTATTCTAAAAACGCCCACCCCTAGTAGTCACTAAAAAAAATTGCACTATCGTTCCTTTGCACGAACCTCTACGGCAAGAAGTGTTATGGCACTCGAAAAGGCTCTTAATTCCATTAGTTGTGGTGGAATTTCGGGGTAGTTTTGATGTGGGGGGGAGGGGTGCCTCCCCGACTCCCCCCCACTAAAGATTTTAGGCGGATATGCATGTTTTTTTTAATTAAACTAATCTAAAAAGTCATTATCTTTTTAGGGTGCAAGGACTAGGGAAGTAAGAACCAGTACTTCTACCTTATCTCCGGCTCTGCAGCAATAGCAGCCCCTCCGCCTTTGCGTGACAAAGTCACAAGCATCACTCCTCTTCACACTTTCGTCTTGTTGGTCACCAACTCCGGCGGCGACCAGCCTCAGGCGCTACGGGTCGCACGATGCTTGCGGCTTTGTCACAGCAGGCGGGGGCTGCTCTCTCTCTCCGTGGCTCCGGGCTCTAAAAACACTCTAGGGGTAGGGCAGAGTAATACCACGGCGCGGCGTGTCGGGGTTGACCAAGTCGGTTCTAAATTAAAGATTGTTGTAAAGCCACATTTACCTTTTTCTCTAAGTGTTGAGCCCATACTATTTTTTATTTACCGAGTAGGTAAATAATAGCAAATATCATTTTTACCGACGAACACAAAGACTGACTGACGGATCTCAAAACAAATACAAAATGCCGGGACATCGGTCATTTTGACAATAGTACCAACTTATTAAACATATTTTACCACAGACAACGAGAATCATGGTATTTCTGCATGAAAAAATGGCAGCACTGATCAAAAACTTTTTAATAATTAATACCATTAATACTTTCCGTGACAAAAATTTCAGCTCGCTACTCAACCACAACTAATGGAAAGCTGAGCCCTGTATTAACTTACAAAAACATTCGGCACTCGTTTGCAAACTTTTCGAATTTGTTAGTGGTTCGTGCTATGTTGAGCTTATTTATTGAACATCTACATACAAACTATAAATTCTTTGATAATTTGATAGTGTTGATAAGTTATTAAAAAAAACGATAAAAGAAGATAAGATTAGAATAGGTAGATCTAGTTAGTGATAGTCCAACTGACCAACCACAGCTACACATTGGGTCGTCACTACCATGCAATCGTATCGCCAAGCCTTGTTATTATCGTCTTCAAATTGCCATGGATTTTCTATGCTGGAATTTGCCAAACAGGAGATTTGCTCCGTGTTAGAAAAGTTTGTATCTATCACTTATTTTTATACATCCACAATTGGACCTTTAATAAATTTGTTAAACAATTTACTTAAATGTAACAACATTGCATCGCTCTGTTAGCCTCTTTTTATTCTACATGCACGATTGGAACTTCAATAAATATGTTAAACAATTTTTTGACACTTGACTTTGACTTTTGACTAACTTACTGAAATACCAAGTGTTTTGCCTAATAAACTCTGCAAACATTTCAGGAATAATGTGAAAAAGCTTCTGTTTATACCCTATGCTCAAAATGATTATAATAAATACACTGCTAAAATAAAGGAAGTAATTGATCTCTGGGGTTTTGAGGTGTCTGGCATACATACATATAAAAATGCAGAAAAAGCTATAAGTGATAGCAAAGCAATATTTATAGGTGGTGGTAATACGTTCCTTCTCTTAAAGAGACTTTATGAACACAATTTAGTAGAACTTATCAGGAAAAGAGTGTATGATGGTGATTTGTTATACATTGGAAGTAGTGCTGGTACAAATGCTGCAACAAAAAGCATTCACACTACAAATGATATGCCGATCACTTACCCGCCCACTTTTGATGCTATTAAAATAGTCCCCTTCAATATAAACCCACATTATATTGAAATGGAAAGTGAAACACACAAAGGGGAAACTAGAGATCAGAGAATTAGCGAGTACCTGGAGCAGGAGTGTGCTTCTCCAGTGCTTGGTCTGAGAGAAGGCTCGATTCTAAAAGTAGACAACAACACTTTGCTCATCAAGGGAGTAGCTGGAGCTGTTTTATTTGAAAAGTGAGTAAAAATTGCTGATGTTTTTTTATGCAAAAACAACTATTTAGCCATATCTAAACTAATATTATAAATATGAAAGTCTGCTGTCTGTCGTTACCTCTCCATCCTTAAACTGCTGCATCAATTTAGATGAAATTTTCTAAAGATATAGTTTGAGTCCTGGGGAAGATATCCTGACATAGGATAGTTTTTTATCTCAGATATGATTCTTTGAGGTGAAACGGGAGGTTGAAGTTTGTATGTGAATCCAATTTTTCCACAAAGACAAAGTCGCGAGCATCCACTATTATCAAAATAAAAACCACTGTCTTTTTACAAAGGTTAGTAGGTATAGCTTTTAAGACAATAGTTTGTATATATGTAAAATAGGGAAGATGCATATATAATATTTATGAAAATTTTATGATTAAAATGTTAAAAAAATATAAAAGAATTGCCACTGCAACGTTTTTATTTTACATAATGTTGTTTTTTAACAATTATTACGAATTTGAAATACTTGAAACAGAACGTATTTTATAACACCAATCAGCGTTTAGTGACGTCACTCCCGTTATGACAACTTCTTTGAGGTTATGGTTGTTAAAGTAAATATTATTTTATGGGAATATTAATTGCGTTTTTTTACGTTTAATAAAAATGGAAGTTGCGTTTATCAAAGTAGACTCCAGGAATTTACCAAGAGTTATGGGCCTACCACACGCACGAGCTTCACCACAGTTTTGCCTGCGCAGGCCGGTTTGTACACAGAACACGGTGCGTGTAGTTGGTAAAACTGTATCACGCGCCAACCCCACAGCGCGGCCTGCGCATTTTTCGACTTGCTTGAAATTTTGCCTGCGCAAGCCCGGCCTGCGCGTACTCGTCTGTGCGTGTGGTTGGGCGTTCAGTGTTCAAGCCACAGTCGAGTGTACTTTGTGTCGAGGCTCGCTCATCGTTTCATGAGGTCGTTCGTCATCGTCACTCAAAAATGGCAGATTTGCGTACGTAAAATCACGAATTCACGTCTGAATTAATAAGTTTATACAAATCTCTGCCTGCACTCTGGAAAATTAAATCTAAAGATTATTCCGACCGAAATAAAAAGAACGACGCCTACGAAAGAATGATAAATAAAATGAAAGAGGTAAAAACATATTTTTTGCAACTAAATACCTATGCCTAATACCTACTACCTACCTACTTACACATATACTGTACATATCCTATCGTTTTTACATGTTTTTTTTAATAGCAAACACTTTAAAAATAGTAGCATAAGAAATGTTTCTTCATTAAGAAACATTGTTTCCACGCCAATGATTTCGATAAGAATGAGGCTTGCGCGTACTTAACTGTGCCGTGTGGTAACGCACAAAGCGTACAGTTTTTTCGTGCGAGATGCTTGCGCAGGCCAAACTGTGGTGAAGCTTGTGCGTGTGGTAAGCGCATTAGTGTTGACATGGTTATAACTTTTTTTGTCCAAAGTGCAGAGTTTTTAAGTGTAGAAATGAAAGGGACTAAATTACTACGGTATGTAAAAATCGTAGTTGTTAAACTTCGTATTTTATTCAGCGGCTTCTACAAATCTTACGGCGATAATGCAATCGGCTATGTCCAAATAAAAAGAGATGGAGAATTATGTACAGTAAAAGGTCGAGTTCTCCGGAGCATAAAGTACGTAAAGAAGGTTATCGTGTTACAGTTATTTTAAATGAAACGCAAAGCTTGGTTCAGTCCTGCCAATGTGAAGATTGTGCCACACATTTTAAACTTTATCTAATTTTCGACGTCATTCTCCAACTGTAAAATTAAAAATATGTTATAGACAGGTTGTGTAAGTATTAGGTAGGTTACTAATGCGTTTTTACGTACAAGCAGATTAATTAAGCATATAACAAGTATATTCGCCGGCTTATGTCAAAGTGATCTTGTCAGCATCGAATAATGGTCTTTGGAGAATAATTGTCATTTCTCTTCGCAGCTTGAAACCACTTTTTTTTCAGTTTTGGGTCAGAAGTTCCAGTCAAAAACAATATATTTGGGAACTTTGTTGAAGTAGATTGGCACAAAACATGACTCAACACGGCTTTTTTTCGGAATATTAGTGGTATTGTTATGATCACACGATGTTGATGGATAGTCCATTTTAAATTTTTCAAAAAAATATTTCGAAAAAAATAGTCAAAAAAATATACAAAAGTATGAAAATTTAAAGCCAGCGACGAACAAGTACGACCAGTGACAGACAGGAGTGACGTCATTGCAACCATAGGTTCGTTTTCGCGCGAAAATTTAAATTGTCAATTTGAAACCGCATTTTTTCCGATAAATCACAATGTTTTAATTTTTTATTATATCTGTGGTTTATTCTACATGGAATTCTTTAAAATGAAAACAAAAATAAAAATATTGCATCTTCCCTATTAGTAGTTTTTATGTGTTTGTTTTTTTATACGCTTCGGCCCAGAAAAATTATAAAATTTCTTTTAACTCTATTTTTCAGGGGTGCTAAGAAGACAGAATTTGCAGTGGACTCCGATGTATCATTTTTGTTAAAGACGCAATGATGTAATTTTTTATATGAACTGTATAAACTATAATATATACTAAAAATGCAATAAAATATATTTATCTACACCCATGCTTTGCTAACATGCATCCAATGTTCTAATAACCATAATATCATTCAAACGGATGCTATAAGTTATAAAAAAAAATATAATATTAAGAAACCTTTCACAAAATCTGCTACTGCAGTTTAGGTAAATATGGCCGCGAGCCTGACCGAGTCACATGAGCGAGATATCGACGCGGCGATGTTCAGTATAGCACGCTTTACCAAATTAACAGTTTAATATGCAATTAGTATGTTAAACACTAAGTGCAGATAAAAATAAACTTTATTTGAGATGCTGAGAAAGATGGATCCCTACCTTAGCAACGAAGGATTCTAGATAGGAATCCTGAGCGGAGCAAAGGATACAAGGATTGAGTTTTTCTTACTATTGTGAGAAAATAAATAATATATTTATCGTAGCTATTGGTTGTTTTGGAACGACAATAAAGATTTAAATAAAACTAGTTTTAACGGGTTAATGTACGAACTTTATTTATTTATTGACGTTTCGCAGCCTTTTCAGGTCTGCAGTGTCAGAATAATGATTTTGATGATGATGATAAAATCATTTTTCTGACGATGCAGACCTGAAAACGCTGCGAAAAATTCGTGTGATTTCCATGCATTTAAACAAAACCCATCAAAAGCTTTCATGAATTTTTGCTGTATGTTCTAGTATCATCTCGTAAATATCAGGATAAATAATATGAAAACGGAACCGGGAAAGATCACACCTCCATCACTGGCTGCTGTAAAGCACATACAATAAGATATGTAAGCCATTCTCCGTACTATTAAAACTGAACATTGTTCTCAAAGACTATCATCACTGATGCTATCATACCCGGAATCAGTCTGGTACGTTTCGCGTACAATGATTGGGTCTCTTAATTGAAACTGCGGATTGATGTTTTATAGAAGCAGTTTGGCTGCGAAAGCAGCAATGTCATTTTTTGTTTTAATTAAATTTAGTTTATCGCCTTGCAGTTGAAGATTCATGTCGTTGTACAATTTTTTGGTCTGTCATGTAAGCTATATCATTCTTTGATGTAATGAGCTTGTTACGCAATTCTGTATCTTTAGTTTCCAAGAACTCTATCACATTCACAGGGTCAAGCAGGTTGTAAAATAGAGTCAGACAATTGCCTATTGATAGCCAACGAACTTCAGTATAAAACAACAAATGGTTGAAATCTTCATCATTAGTAACACGAAGCTGATGAAATAATCTATCAACAACTATTAAAATGCGAAAGTGTGTCTGTTCCCCTTTTTATTTATTTGTTTTTATATACTTTCATTTCGAAACGGAGCGACCGATTGCCATTGTTTTTATTTTAATTATTCAATAAAACAGGACAGATATATGAACTACCTTTTTTTATATATAACGCAGGTAAAAAATGCTATTTACAGACGACGGCGCCTTTAAGAGGCACACCGCCGAACGGACCTCACACCTGGCTCTCGCAAGTCTTACGGGCTCCCCAGTGGCTGTCCACCGAGGACCCCGCAACTCTTACGGGCGCTTTACGGCATAATATCCGCTAAAAAAGTCCTGCGAATACCCTCTAAGCTGCTTAGCGCGGGATCCCCGTTTGGGATTCTTCCGCGTCTCCGCACCTAGCAGCCTCCCGGCCTAGCCGGGGCTCCACGGCAGGGGTGTCACGGGTACCCCGCAGACGTGCGCAGGTAGGCCCGCGCGTGGGGGTTGAGTACGCGGCCTAATGCCCACCGTACCGCCCCCCGTCCGCTGCGGAGAGATATATGAACTACCTTGGGAAAAATATCGAATCGAGCTAGTTTGAGCAATCTCTTGATATTATTATTAGTTGATGTTCACAAGTTGTAATCGAGAGCTCAGTCGGGGTCCCGATTTTTTCTGGGTCTCCTACCTAACCCAGGCTGCAGCGCCCACAAGGGACCATTATCGCCCTCTTTGGGAAAGGTTGATCTAAACATTTAGATAGCTAGAGCAGCAAGTTTTTGTATTTTAGTGTCGGTTAATACTGGAAAGCCACAATATAGTTCCCATAGATGTATTGTGATTTCTTTAAACATATCCCTATGGGAGTAACTTGATCGTAAGTTGTATATGGCCTCATCTGCTCGATTCTATAATACATAAATAGTTTTTATATTAGCAGCTGTTCCCATAACAATAGGCCATAAGACATTCCACTATGATAATGGCATAAGTAAATTAGTGTTTTGCTGCTTCAATATCAGTCGGAAGCTTTTCCTTTTTTCATCAATTGAGTGTGTAGAAAAATATTTTGATCAATATGAATGCATATTGCAATCCCAAATCTAATGTTATACATACGTATTTTGTACTTTCCAAGTAAAGATAATACATCCAGAAACCACAGGTACTACATCACCATTCATGCTTAATGGTGTATCAAGACATCTTACGATAATTTTATGGATATAGTTTTATTTTAGTTAAGGAGAGGGTATATAATGTGAAGTATTGTAAGATTTTCGATAGAATACATCATATATACATATTTGCCGTAACGGCATTGATCGCGACTTCCTTGGATCTATGATTTCTGGCAGCAGACGTTCATGGGTAAAACTTAGTTTTGGAATCATCTTTTCATGCCAAAACTTGTTATTTTTGACTACCCTTACTACTTTTAATGGGAAATCAGCACCAGTCCACACAGCAAACAAACACACATGTTTTTGGCAATTTGTATTCGGTAGTACCAGTCATGATTTTTATTAAATTCTAAAAAATGTTCATTAATGGACTTAAAACACTTTTAGTTTTTTTCCCCGTATTGCAATATCAGGATCTATTCCAAAAACAGAGCTGGGACATTTTACTTCTACTAAATCTTCGCCACTCAGTCCATCTGGAGTTACTCCTAAAAACCAGTATTCCGAATCAATAATTAAGCCACATTCTTCGATAAAAATATTTTCCTGCACACTTAATTGTGCCAAAGCCATCGACTCATTTTTTCTTTCGTGTTTTACTGAAGGGATGTTGCTCAGTTCATATTGTTAAAGGAGTATTTTTACCACAGGAGCAGAATTTGATTTGGTCGCCTTTTACATTTTTTTGCAAAAGTCGAAGCAGTAATCATACATCCTCTCAGTTCTAGTCATAAAGCACTTTCGGCTTGTAGATCTTTCGATTTCATGAGAATTTGATGCCTGTTCTTTTAAACTATTTAAAAACAGCAGTTTTGCCCTCTCGTAATCCTCCGACTCCATATTCGGACGCTCACATTTTGACCATAATGAGCATCGGAGACCTTATACTTTTTGAGCTTTTTTGCTCTCTTTGCTTCTAAGATTTTCCGGGACTACTTTGATATATTGATTTGTATAACGAATATTGCGGCTTTCCAGTATTAAACGACACCACCGCAGCGTAGCATCGAGTAGTGTACGATTCTTTGAGAAGGAAATTTACTCGTTGTCCACCTACCATTTTAGCGACTATGCTATTACATTGTTGAGCTCGATTATTTGTTTAACAATGTATGACTACGCGAATGAAAACCAAGTTGTGACGCGTTCTTTTGAAGTTGAAGGAATAAAGTTGGGACGAGTGAAATTATATTACATTCATTTTCGTTTCCTCTGTGCAGTAATAACATTGCGAATGTTCCTTAAAGATGTGCCTAGGACTGTTAATGATATTTCTTTGTAATTTTTCTATTTTTTCTAAATGTGAACAATCTTCTTGTTGCATGTATTTTACAGCATCACGAACTGAAGTACGCAACCTTTTTAATCGGTGTAAATTCAAGTTTGCGTTCGCTTAATGGAATAGTGGTATCTTTCTGAAGCAATAAATTTTTCCCATTGTAATTTCTTAGTAAATGATTCGTGCACTCAATTTTTTGAATCGCTACGTCAGGTTAAGGACGACTGTCTAGTATATTTTTTAAGTACTAGAATCTCCATCTGCAATTAAAGTTTTATATATTAAATTACGATCTGTAATAGATTTTTTAAAACCTTCTACCAAGATATGCTGCTCCACGGTTGAAGATGACCCTGAGTAGTTTTTGGTACAGTTGTCTTTTTGCATTCTCGTTTTATTATTCGCTCGGCATAAATCTGCAAAAATCTTTTCTTAATGTGGCGCTCAAAGTTACGATTTTTTGCAAAAAATGTGAATGGGCTTTTAAACACTCCTTTAATTTTTTGATTCCTTCCGCACAAAGGGTTTACTCTCAGACAACCACAATTTTTACTGTTAGTTGCGTGGTTTTATGAATAAAAAGAACATTGTCTTTCACGCGCGTTTCACTACCGCATTGCTGAAACTTCATAAATTTTATATTCTTAGAACGCCCCATAATTTCAGAATCTTTTATAGAGGTTTTAAAGCATGTGTGTAGATAGTCTTGTGCAAATGTTTACAATTTGATATTAATATTTGTAGTTTGCCTAATTATAAATTCCCTGTTTTTGTAAGTCTCCCAAACTCCAGTATTGGTTAAAAATATCCAGTCTTGATGCCTCACTTATTTTTGAAGGACACTTTAATCTGCATTTTTCGCCACACGTTGGACCCATGTTTCTTGCAGGTACTTGTTTTTTTTAGTCGATTCATAAATGCTTTTCCAGAATGGCGAAGTCGTTTGGCTATTTTGTTTTTCCATTTTTCTTCATTACGTACTCTATTTTTCCCTTATTTATTGTTCTGGTCTTCCAAAGAATCATTTGAAACGGTAGCCAAAGCAGAGGATGAGGTACCGGGACTTAAATTGTCCACAGTTTCATTATCCGAGCTACTTGTCGAAGAATTATTGGAAGAAGTACTCGATGAAGAGCTACTTGATGAAGAAGAACTACTAGACGAATATTTCGTATTACCACGTAGTAAAGGGGCTTACTTGTTGAACCAGGGGTAAAATGCGGATCATGGTCGGAATCATCAAAATCACTCTGATCTGAGTGTAAAGGTGAAATGTAATAATTCCTTTGATCACATTTAGTCCCCGATTCAACATTACTGACCGTACTGTTTGCGTGAATTTCCTGAAGTACTAGATTCATTTTTTCTGTCGCATCATCGCCTTCTTCTCTCTGGGACCATTCACTCACCGATTTTGACAACAATGAAGGTAATAAATTTGAAGGATTTGCACATTCTTCAACAGGTTCGTCATTTTCTTTGTCCTGGTTTTCGCCGCTAGTTTTATTGCCATACCAACAAGTAATCGCCCACGATGCATAGTGACACTGGTATGATCATTTTGTAAATCACATTCGTGTAACAGTCGCATAAATAACTAATGTACACACTAAGAAATTAATTAAAATATTTAGGGTAGGTAATGTAAATAAAATATTTTTATAAACATATTTATTCTTCTTGTTTAAGTATACTTATATGGAATTAAGACAAACTTACATGGTATTGTGTTAATGCTGAAATTGAACCATAATAGGTTTTGTTATAAATAAAAAAAAACATCATTAATTTAAATTCTGAAATAATAATATTTTATATGATACAGTATTAGTACCATAGTAGATACCATAAATGAAAATAATAAATATGCATGAATTGGGTTGTCATCTGTCTGGATTTAACTGTACCTATATATTTGGCTCTTGTCAGTCGAGTCCAGTTTTTGGAAAACCCCTTGATCACGTGATGCACTGTTCATCAGCTGGTGAGAAAAATTTGAGAATAGTCTCTGGCTCTTAAGGACAATGTCCAGTCTTTAATCAGCACCAAATCTGTCTCTTCTATTTAGAAGAAGGCATCCCTAAGGATTCTCTCCTCATAAGCAATATTTTAGATAAAAAGTTGCCTTTTATGCCTTATAAACAATTTATTCATGCATGAGACTTCATGTTCAAACATTGTTATCAAACACTTAACAACAATATGCAGTTTGTTTGCACTTTATGTGACATTGATGTACAATAAAATTAATGGATATATTCAAACACGTTTGTCTTTAATTTTAGCACTTTTCACCATTTCTATATAAGTCAGGTGGTTCATCCAGAGCACTGGATTTAATTTCTTCGTCAGCCGGACACTGGGGCTTGCATAAGCAATGCCCTTGCAGCGTGGAACAGGGAAGGTTGGGGCGCCACTCGGGATTGTCCAGTGCGTTCTGCTACTGGTAAATGACAAAGATGACGCCGTAGCGCAAGATCACGTCTCGCGCTCAATCCGCGAGTGATTTCGCAACCAGATCCAAACAAAATCGCCCGCTGCCTTTTCCTTTTCTGCAGAGCAACCTAAAAAACAAAATTTAAATAAAAAAACCTTTGTCCACGCATATCTCAAAATCTAAAGTAGGTGGCCAAATAATAAGGGACTTCAGATAAATCTAGACAGTTTTAGGTTTATCTGAAGTCCCTAATTTTGCTTATAGCAATTAAGTTTGCTTTTAATTTTTTTTTATCTAAAAATTTAACCGATGTTATTGTGTCGATTCTGTCATGATTTTTTAAATCTTAACTTAAATTTGACAACAGTATATACTTGTCATTCTCTATACAGAATGAAAAGAAGAGACTGATGTTAAATTAAGTTTTTAAAGTTTAGAGAATCATGCCAAAATCGACGCCGGTTTGTATACTTGAATATATTTACCTGTATGGCAGCAATCGGGTGTAAAGATTCGACATCCACTGCTGGTTCAGTTTCTTCAACATGATTATCGCCATATTTACCGTTTTGTTCAGTAGGGTTGTTTCCTGTATTGTCAGATTCTTTCTGTTGTGCTTTATTTTCTGATTGTAGCGAGGCATTCTTATGAAAAATTTCTTGCACCGTATTTTTTCCGGCCATATGCAAGGAGAGACCAAGGCGAGTCAGAACCCTTTCGGGTCTCCAACGGTCGCGAGCTCCTCCGGTCGGCGCGGTCTGTTCCCGGCGACGTACATCTGCCACCAAACTTGCCCAATCTACTCCCAGCGCGTCGCCCAAACCAGCTGTAAAACATGATTTTTTTGTTTTTATTTCTTTAAGCATTTAACTGCTAGATGTTTAAATCTAAAGAAAAGTTTACTAGAAAAGCCTAAAGAAAATATAACTAGAAAAAAATCCACGCGGACCAGGCAGCAGACGGAACTCGAACCCGCACCCTTCGCTATCTGGGCGAATGCACTGACCATTATGCTACCGAGGCCTTGGCGGCCGTGTCGAATTTTCTCTAGCCTTAGGCTGCGAGGCAGCGCCATATCTTCGCATTGTAGATTGATTGACATGTTTTTTTTTAAGTGAAACTTCTATATAGACGGTGGGTATTAGGATTTTACACAGGCTCCTCTCATGTTACCACGTCTCTGTGGTTTAGCTCAAGAAGGTTGCCGCTACCAATATATTATTCTATACCTCTGGTTCTTTCTTCCTCTAGTTCACCATCAGATATTTCTTCAAAGTCCAGGTTTGCAACATCATCTTCATCTTTAGCATCCTGAGATTCCTTTTCTTCTCCGGCACCACTTGTATCCTATAAAAACAAAAATTCAATTACGATTCATTTTGAATGTTTCTTTGGTGGCTAAATTAATCCCTTACTAACCTGAGTAGATTCTTTTTCCGATCCTTCAATCTTAGATGCGCCTTCATCAACATGTAAAGCACTTTGACTGTCTTCATCCATAGTTTGATCTGCCATCTAAAATAATAAGAAAAAAGAATTGGTTTCTCTACAACTACACTAATAATATGAAAAAAAATATTAAAATGATCCTTTAGAAATACTGAATACACTGAAAATAATTCTATAGATACATATGTGATTCCAATGTAACGGTTACTTTAAGTTGGCAATTTTATTTTTTTCTGAGTCTTCAGTATTATCTAAGCATAATTTTATTACAACCCGTATAAAAACAATCTTACATCTTCTCTGTTTAAGATATCATCAGGGTCGTCACTAATCTCACTGAGATCATCAGGTATTGGTTTATCTTCGACGTCAGCATCAGGGCGCGAAGGCGCAACAGTTGCAGTCTGCGATGGCGGCGGAGTCTCTTTAGCCGGTATTTCCGGTTCATTTCTTGGAGCTCGACGTTTATTTCCATCACCTCTGCTAGTATCCATCCTCATGCCACGACCATAATCTTCTAGACATTATTTTAATGGGGAATTATAGTACCTTAACGTAAATTGTAATTTAAATTTCAATTTAATAACATAGACAAAGAAAATCATACCATGAACTCGACCACGATGCGATCCAGGGTGTCCTCGATGATGCCAACCCTCCATATCTGTTTCCTTATCCCCACCCCACTCGTTCATCTACAATTAATTTTTAACATCATTAAACTACACACCAAGGTTGGATAAAACAACTATAGAAACTAAAACATGTATAACATACCAAAGTGAGGATATGGACAGCCAAGGAATATATGCGACAGAATAAAACAAGGGTCTTTAAAACTTCTTAAACGATAGTCGATTGGTTGATTCCAATACAACCTTTGGTAGTACAGACTCACCTAAGGCAAACCATTAGGAAAGGATAAGTGGATATAGGAGTCATAAGGCAAACAAAGGAAAGGGCATTTAAACATCTTAAGTCTCAAAGCAATACCTGTGGTTCATGCATAGACCAATGACGTTCACGACCCCAATCTGCAGAAGATCTATAATCTTCGTTATCCCAATCTTTATGAGGATGCATATAACCTCTTTCCCGATCCATGGAACCCGAACGACCCTCCCACGACCGGTCACGATGTTGTCTCCTATCATCGTAACCTTAAAAAAATGATTTTATATTAATTTTATAACAGCGTCGGAAAAGTTCTGAACTCAGTTTGTAGTAAGAAAATTTGTGATCTAAATAATTTATCCTTTATCTAAATTATTATCCTATTCGAGATCTATAAGCTATAAAATATGCCGTTCTTTTTGCCGCACTGTACACAACGCAAAGTTTATTATACATACGCATAAAAACGGAAAAGAACTTGTCACAGTTTTTACCGCATGGCTAAGTTCCATCAATGACAGATGTGATATTTCTGCAGTGTAGCTTGAAAGCAATATTTAATCTGATATTATATAATTATCTATCTACTGACAACATTTATTTTACCAATCTTACAAAAAATACTTCGTGAATGTGAATACTTTATTATATGTGAACTAGAATAAATGATTCAATATCTAAATAAGATTAATAAAAATATCTTACCCATATCTACAGCATGATGATCGTTAATGTGTTCGCCATACATCCTATCGTCATCTTCAGGATAACCCCTTGGTGGGCCCGACATATCATAACCTGGATCGTAATGTCTATCTCTTGCTTGTATATATCCAGGAGATCTATCATCCTCTCTAGGACCACCCTCGTACCGATCGTCTACTCGATCATAATGCTCAAGATTATGATCATTATCATATTGTCGATCCATACCTATTTCATAGTCACCTTGCTCTCTATCTATACTATCCATTCTATCCCTCTTTGTTGATCGATCTCTTTCCATCCTATCCTGTTTACGGCCGCCTCTTTCAATATCTTGCCGTTCTTTAGAGTTAGTTGAACTCTTATCAGGTTCTAAAACCCTATTAGATATCGCAGCAAGGGCCGCGAGACGTTCTTCTGGTCTAGGTAATAGTCTCTCCATAGGTTTGTTTGGTTTTTCTAATCCTTTATCTGATCCACCTCTACTACCTCCCAAACCACGATCACGACCGCGACGCTTACTATCATCTCTTTTATTATCTTTATTTCTATCACGTCCACGATCTTTTCTGTCATGTCTGTCTTTTTCATCATGTTTATCTTTCCTTCGTTCTAAAGATCTATCCTTGTGATCACGACCTCTATCCCGATCTCTACTAGACGAGCGCTTTCTATGACGCTCAGTACTTCCATCTCTTCTTACTTGCTTCTTGGGAGAAACAGGTCGACTACGTTCAGAACTTTCCTTTTTCCTTAAATCTTTAGGGTGCTGACGTGGAGATCTAGATCTAGCCTTTCTAGGCGACCGACTACGACCTCTAGGACGTTCTCTATCTTTTTCGCGATCTTTATCCCTTTCTTTATCTCTGTCTTTGTTGCTTCGATCTCGTTCTTTATCTCTATCTCGTGCAGAATGAGGAGAAACACTCCTGTTTCTCTCCCGTCTCTGAGGAGATTTTCCATGTTTTACTATATTCTTTGAAATGCTTTTCGAAGTTATTGGTGGCGTCCCTCCTGATTTTTTACCTGGTGATAAAGACTTTTTACCAATAATTGCTTTAGTGACTGTTTTTTTCTTGCCACCATCATGTTTTTTTAACCTGTCATCTTTTTTAGGTGTACCTTTTTTCTCAGTTTTATCCTTTTTTGTAACATCATTTTTAATATATTTCTTCTTCGGTATCTCACCATCCGATGAAGAACTGGAGTTCCTTTTTAATTTTACTTTCTTGCCTTTCCTTCTTGCTTCTCTAAAAAATAAAAAAAACTAAATCTCTCTACATTTTTTATTTATTTAAGTAGCCAATATTGCAAGATTATTTTAAGTTTATTTTTATAACTTGACATTCACTTATTATTTAAATTGTGTTGTTCATAACACGTTAATTGCCAATCACGCGACGTCGCGTGTTCCCAGTCAATACTGTTCAATTTGGCTCTTCACGCGACGTCGCGTGGAGTGTCGGAAAAGTTTTGTTTAAACAGTATTGCGTCGGCCACAGCGTTATCGCAAATGTGATTTTAAGGGCCTCTAGAGAAAGGACTGAGCCATCGTAAAGTTGGCGTGGCCATCAGAATCATGATATAGTTTTAGTGTTACGTAATTGGTTAGTTCGCTTAGTGACGCTGCTCGTGCGGGCGGCTTTCTTGTTTGTTTTTAGTTACTTTTGAACAAATACGAGGTTTTTTCTGTAGAAAAAAGCGATAATATTTAAAATAAAACAACATTTATAATGAGTGATCATCAACCTGGTATCTCTAGGGGTACGAAACGACAAAATGAGAGACCTTCGCGAGTGCAATCAAAACGTGTTGTGTTATCGCACGAATCGGAAATTCTTGAAGCTTTAGAAAACTCTGATGAGGATGATTTTGTGGGAAGTGATGAAGACAAGGATTTCCTATAAAGTGATGATGATGGAGACAGCTCAACCATGGAGTCGGAAGCAGATAAAGAAGGAGTTATATCACCGTTATCTCCTAGTGAAATCCGATTTTTATCTGCAGAAAGGGAGAAGAGGAATGAAACGATTGAAGAGCCAGCTCGCCATAAGACTCTTCTGAACCTGCTCCCGAAGGATCAGCTCCACATTGGTGTACTTCTTGCTCGTCCATGAAACTAATACCATTCGTTCGAGGGTCAAAACTTCGTAGAGCCGCGTTCACAACCAATAGATTATTTTTCTCGTTTTTGATGAAGGATATTTGAGAGTGATCGTGGATTGCTCAAACAAATACGCCGAACGTATGAAAAGCTCATGTGATTATCATCATGCACATATTTTAAGATGGAAAGAGTTGACCGTTGACGAGTTCAAAACATTTCTGGGCCCGCTGTTACATTCTGGCACTAAAAAATTAACAGATTGACCGATTATTGAATGGTTCATTGGTTATATAAATCATGATTTCCAAAATACATGTCACGAAATAGATTTTTTATTATTTAACGCTGCTTTTACACTCCCTGAAGAATAAATCACGCGAAGACGCGTGATGGGGCCCCTAATATATAACTATATTATGTAAAATATCATAAATATATGCTAAAAGAATAAACATAACGCAAATAGTATTTGCTGTACTTGAGAGTCAATTAATTAAAAACCAAGTTATGGGCCACCAGCAGAAAACTCAGCAGAAATTTTAGTTTTGGTAATTAAAGTCTTAATTGACTTTATTGTACTTGGTATCGCTTGCATTTGATTTTCATTTGAGTATCAAATATTTTTTGTTTCTGTAAGTACAGTGTAAATAACACATTTTAACAACAACAAATGTTTTATATAAATAAATACGCCATGGCCATAAAGTGAACTACAGCGCATAAAAGTTTTAGTTTGTTCTTGGCGTTGACGAGACATTAAAACAGAATTTACCCAATTTCACCCCCCAAAGGATTGGGTTTGCGGAACACATATTTGTTGCACTACACAAACTTCAAACTAATTTTTATCTATTTGAGAGATGAATTTAAAAATATTCTTCTTTATTCCTTGCATAGTCATAAAAGCAAATACTGTGAAAAGCATAATATTTCTAGTAGGTTCAAGGGCTAAGAGTTGATTAGTCATAGACTACAGGCCCGTGGCAAAATTTATGGGTAATTTGAACCACCAGAAGACCTATTTAGAAAGAAAGAAGGACATTATATAATAATATTCAGCACTATGTCGTCACTGGTAAGCTGTACTTACCTACATTACGTATACATTTTGATCATATATTTTTTACGGCATTCTTACCATCGATAGATCCATGAAAAATAATAAGAAAACACATAGTGCCATTCAAAAATAGTGCACCATAAAGTCGTGAAAACTTTTAATTTCTCCATCATTCTGTACGGCATCGGTTTTGTACAATTTCAATACCTCTTCTAATTCATTATTTCGAAATGCCGTACAAAAATCATGCGACAAGAGGGAAAATTCGAGGGTTGCAGCTTCCTCCCCTTCAATGGTCCGGGGGTGTGATTTGACCCTTACTTATTACCTAAATATTATTTTAAACAACAATGACATGTAGAAAATTGCTATATTTCATTAAACTATGATTATTGAAACTTACAATAATTCGAAAAATTTTTGCTTTTCTCTAGAATTTTTATGGAGACACATCTCTCAGCTCTCTGTGTGGTAGTGATTTTACTTTTTATCTTCTTTGTGTATACCCAGGACTGGCATCCATACAATAGGCATGGTAGCAGGCATGTTTCCCTTCAAATATTCTTTATGGGACCAGAACTTTCTTCCCGCTAAGTTTATTTTTCGCTCCACCTCTTCTTTCCTAGCTTTATTGGTGAAAGATACTTGTTTTCCTAGGTAGATATATTTATCAATATATTCAATGTCACTACCCGCTACTGTGATATGTTTCTTGTAACTGTTGGTCATGAATTTTGTTTTACTTTTACTTTCTGGCGTATTAGAGCAAATGAAACAAAATCTGTCAATGTAACATTCACACTGAGACATGATACGTGCCCCACAGTTTTTCTTAACGACATACCTTTGCCTCAAGCAGAAAACGCCAGATACCTCGGATTACATTTGGACAGACGTCTGACATGGAAACACCACATCTTCACGAAAAGGAAAGCTCTGGGACTCCAGGAAAGAAATCTATTTTGGCTAATGAACCGCAAATCTGAACTTTCTTTGGAGAACAAATTACTAATATACAAGTGCGTACTGAAGCCAATGTGGACATACGGACTGCAGCTGTGGGGTACTGCCTCTGCTTCAAACATACAAATAATACAACGGTTTCAATCCAAAACGTTGCATATGATTGCTGATGCTCCATGGTACATAACAATTAATCAATTACACAAAGACTTAGGAGTACCAAATGTTAAAGAAGAAATAGAAGAAGTGGTCAAACGTTATAGTTCACGCCTCAAATCACACCCTAATGATATGGCATCATGCCTTATTAGCATTGACAACTCTTTCAAGAGGCTTCGGCGGAGGACGCCCCTTAGCCTCATCGATGGACAAAACAGCCTTGCAAGCAGACACGTGGTGGAGGAGTCAATGGATTTCTCCCCTGCTAATTAGAAGGAAGAAGTTAATCACAACTCCAGTCAAAAGTTGTAGAACAGAGAGCTGGAAAAAAATAGAAAAAACAAAAATTCATCTTCAGGCCTACTTTCTGATAGAATGCCAATTAATTATTTAGATATGCATGTACCTAGTCATCTTTACATCTATATCTATACATATAAATAAAATTGGAATGACTGTTTGTAATATTAAAATAACCGCTTTTGCATATGAACTTATATGCAGTATATACACCAAAATATCATTTTTTCCAATTATTGTCTGTCTGTTCCGGCTAATCTCTGAAAAGGCTGGACCGATTTTGATGGGACTTCTATTGGCAGGTTGTAAAGTAAAAAAAAATAAAAAAAACTATATAACTATTTATCTAGTTAGTTATTTCAAAAAAAGAAAGAAAAAGGCTGGAGGTGATGGCCGGGTGATGGTAGCCGATTTAGCGTCTCAGCTTCCATTTAAAGTTAGAGTTGTAACGGGCGCCGGGAAGCTGGTAACATCTCCAGGTGTCCGGAATAACTTACGGGAACATCAGCTTTTAATCTCAAAGGCAGTTTTGACTAGGGTTGAATGATAAAGGTGTTTTTCCTCTTCAATTATTTATTGTGAATGTGTACATACCAGATTGGATTCCAGACGTCGAAGTACATTAAGTATTGGATTTACTTAGCCTTTACGGTTGGTCCATGGTTAAAGATATCAAAATGATATTTATAAAGATATCATTAAAATTAAAGATGAAGCTAAAGAAATTAAGGATTATAAAGACAAGAGCTAAAACAAAAGAGACTTTTGTGAGACCAGACAACATGGCTTGATATACACACATCAAAAGTGTCTAGGGATCAACATATATTTTTGCAATAACTTTTCTCCTGATTGATATTAATTAAAATTTTCTTTAAGGATTCATCAAATAAAGTGTTTTCGTTTGTCACAGTAACGATAAACCAAGTCACCTTTGCATTAATAAAGAAATTTGCCATTTTCCTAATAAAGGGATTTTTGACATTTGAACCACTAACACAAAAGTTCGAAAAAAAGACTGAAATAACAGTTTTCTCTAAAATTTTATTGGGTAACTTAAACAATTAATAATCCGTATTTCTACCGCGAACACTAACAACACAAGAACATCGGTTTGGCATACTCAAAATGAGTTCATCCAAATCACGCTGTGGAATGGCCGCCCATGTTCGTTGCAACAACAAAAAAAGGTCTTCTTGCGACTGGATACCCTCCATATTCGGCAGAGCTCTTCTCTGTAGCATATCCCATGCATGCTCAATCGGGTTCAAGTCTGGCGACTGAGCAGGCCAGGGCAGGACATTGATGTTAGCTGCGGCGAGTCTGTCTTACAACTCTTGCGGTGTGCGGTCGTGCATTATCATGCATTAACTGAAATAAGGGACCGATTTGCACTTGTAGAGGAACGATGACGTCTGATACAATCGTCTCAGCATAAATTTGAGCGTTGAGGTTGCCTCTGATCCAAATCAACTCAGTTCTTCCGCCGATCCAAATACCCGCCCATACCATGATGGTTCCACCACTATAAGGATGGACTTCCTGGCAGGATTTTAATCGCTGTTGGCGTCCAGGGGTTCTCCAGTGTCGTATACGTCTTGTATCCGGTCTCATACCAAAACGAGACTCATCAGAAAAGCACACGAAACGCCATTGTTCTT